ATTTCAACAACAAAAAAAACAATGAACTCTGCATCTTTTTTTTTTCAATACTATTAAGGTTAAGACTGGGCTTCATCATAACATAACATCAGTACATGTCCACAAAAAATTCAAACTACAGCAAACAAATTACATGCATTGTGTTTCTTTCGGTGCCATTAATATCAATTTAATGTATTCCTTGATTTATCTTATACAGTTAATCTTAGTGATTATGTCAATATTGTATATACACATAATTTTAAACAACACTTGTATATAGCGTATATCGATATTTGAGTTTAATCTTTACATCATTCTGTAAAGATATAAGCCGATAACAGTCCATTTTGTAAAATATGTTCAATATTTTGCAGAATGGACTGCTAGAGGCTTATATCTTACTTAAAACATTGTTTAACACGTCAAAAAGGTGAAAAAATGCAAGCAAATACAAATTTTTGGTAAGATTTATATTCATCAAGTGTGAAAATTATTTTGTGAATAAACTGTCTTTACATAAAAATGTATCCTACATGTTGGCCTCTTTAAACAGTAGCTCAACTTAAACTATAGACAAAAAGAAAGTACAGCTGAAGGTAAACAACATATACTGCTACATGAAGATAAAGACACAGCGTATGCGTATCATGATTTTTTCGTGCGCAAGTACTACCCTAAATAATTTCCTTAATACCTTTACATGTGTTTTGTGTTTCAAAATGGATTAAGACGATGAAAGTATATTCTTAATGCAAAAAACGGAGAAAGTGATGTCGTTTTCAGTGATTGTGTTGTTTCAAACTTTGGATTAAAATCAAATATGTACTGTATTCAGATATATTCGATTTCAGAGTGGATTACAAAGAGGATATAGTTATAGCATCTAAAAATGGCAAGTTTTATATTTATTATATTTCAAAATGTAGTCCTCTCCTTTTAGTTTCGTGTTTCTTCTGGGGTTTTTATTTCTTACTAGGTGAATGAGAAAAAAAAGAAAACATGTAAAGACAGGTTCACATTGAACCATATCGAGTGCACCGCATTTATTTATTTCATATATATATTTAATATGAACAAATGAAAAAATAACAACGTGCAATCATTTTAAATTCTTTTGTTGTTCATCGGAATTGTCAAGAGACTGTTATTGTTTACCAAAACGGTACCACCTGAATATCCCTCCTTTTTTCTGTTTTTTTTTCTGCAAGGTCGTGTCGCATTTTGTTTTTTTTTTTCGTTTTTTTGTGTATTGATGTCCCTTGTGTGTTTTATTTTTTTTTTAATGTGACCGAGTCATAATGTTGTCTCTCGATTTCCTTTTGCAAAAAAAAACTCTCTGATTTTCTTTTATAACATAAAACTATCACTACGAACAAAGTGCGAATCGGACACACGATTAATTTGTATAACAGATAACCTGCGGTAACGTCTTCCAGCTTCCCATATTCATTGTCGTTCATAAGCGAATTGTTGCATTATATTCAAATTCAAGCAATTATATCAGACTTAAAAAAACAACAATAACAAAAGCCATTAAAGTCCCCTAGTTCATGAAGCAAATTCTAGATTTGCACTTTGTACACAGGGTGAGGTTTAGGTTTCTGTTGTGTCGTTGTTCTCCTCTTATATTTGATGTGTTTCCCTCAGTTTTAGTTTGTAACCCGGATTTGTTTTTTCTCAATCGATTTATGAATTTCGAATAGCGGTATACTACCTTTATTAGGTTGTTTATAGTTCTTGTATTGCCGCATGACCTATCAAACGTTAGAAGCATTACTTTATTTGTTTTTCATTTTAATTGTAGCTGAAAATGATGTTAAGAAGAATAAGAGCAACGCCAGAGGTCAATTTTGTAACCAAAAACGGACGAGGATAAATCTTTTGAAAAAAGGAATACAAAAAAGCATCAAAAACAAGACTTATAAGCTTTATTAACCAATTGAATTAGTGCTAAAGGAGACAACCCAAAACTTGGGAAAAATGTCTGTGATATAAGTATTGGTAGTGTTAAAATCAATTTGAAAGGGATTTTTTTCTCAAGAAACCGTTTTGATAAGTGACAAAATTATTGTATTGGAAGGTGACTTTAATAAAAATGTTTTTTTTTTCTGTAATTGTCATTTGTGCTTTCGTTGTAATTTTTTTTCAAATTTGCGGAATTGATAATGTTTTCTCTTCTGTGATTGGACTATCATTTACCTGTAAGAATCAGTTAGGCAACCTTGAGCTGTCCAATATTTTTTTTAAAGAAAGAGGAGGGCTATTATTAAAAATATTGGACAGTTAAAGGTAACATCATGGTTTCTTATAGGTATATGATAGTCCAATCACTGAAATAAAGAACGTGCAAAACAATAGAAAGACGTCACAACAATGTTTTAAAATTAATGAAATTATTATTATTTTAGAAGTTTAAATAATATTCACACAAATTTCATTTCTGTTTGCACATTATAAAATTGAGAATGGAAATGGGGAATGTGTCAAAAGAGGGACGAAAGATACCAGAGGGACAGTCAAACTCATAGATCGAAAACAAGCTGACAACGCCATGGCCAAAAATAAAAAGACAAACAGACAAATAGTACAGATGACACAACATAGAAAACTAAAGACTAAGCAACACGAACCCCACCAACAACTGGGGGTGATCTCAGGTACTCCGGAAGGGTAAGCAAATCCTGCTCAACATGTGGCACTCGTCGTGTTGCTTATGTTATTACAAATCTGGTAAGTAGTCTAATTCAGTAGGTCACATTCGTGAAAAGGGAAGGGAATTGTAGTAACGACATAAGGAACATATACGATATCATCTGTGAAACGGTTATTTCATAACGGTCAACCAACTCGTGATGGCATCTGTACAATTTACGAAGGGATGATTTCAACTTCACCATTTGGAATTCTTGGTTTAATAGCTTCCTTGTGAGCAGCAATCCTCTATCAAGGAAATCATGATACGAAATACAAGCCCGGGAATATCGTATCAATTGGGAGATATATACTTCGTATGCAGGCGCTGCTGGAAAGTTGCTACATAGAAATGGAAAGTTCACAATAGGGAAGCTGAATTCATCTCTTTTGTCGTAAAGTTTTGTTTTCAACCGACAAAGAGACAACAACCCGACCAAAGAGCAGAAAACAGCCGAAGGCCACCAATGGGTCTTCAATACAGCGAGAAAATACCGCACCCAGAGGCGTGCTTCAGCTGGCCCCTAAACAAAAATGTGTACTAGTTCAGTGATAATGGACGTCATACTAAACTCCGAATTATATAAAAGAAACTAAAATTAAAAATCATACATGACTATCAAAGGCCAGAGAATCCTGACTTGGGACAGGCGCACAAATGTGGCGGGGTTAAACATGTTTTTTGAGATCTCAACCCTCCCCCTATACCTCTAGCCAATGAAGAAAAAACAAACACACAGCAATATGCACAGTAAAACTCAGTTTAAAAGAAGTCCGAGTCCGATGTCAGAATAGGTAACAAAAGAAACTAAACAAAATGACAATGATACATCAACTAACAAAGGACTACTAGCAGTTATTGACATGCCAGCTCCAGACCGCAAATAAACTGAATTAAATATTATGTTTTCATCATATGAATATCAAGCACAATCCCTCCCGTTAGGGGTTTAGTATCATACCGCATAAAATATATGAAAAGAACATAACCCGTATCATGTCAGCAACTGGTTTTTAAATAAATGTGTTTATTTCCGCAAGAACCCTATAAGTGAATCAATATTAAAGCCGAAATATGCCATCTTTAATGATCTGACAACAGTATTGTAACTATATCCCTTCTTAATAAGTCTGTTTAAAGGTTTTGTTAGCTTTTGAGCTGAATGTCGACATTGTTGTGCTTTGTAAATAATATTACCATAAAAGATTGGATGTGAAATACCTGAACGTATAAGATATCTACATCTTGATTTATATTTACGAATGATGTCCTTGTACCGATGATATATTGTGGTAAATGTTTTAACTAGTTTGTGATATCGAAAACCCTGATGAAATAATTTTTCAGTGAAACATAGATTTCTTTAGCTAAATTCTGATACGTTGTTACATACACGAGCGAATCGTACAAGTTGAGATATTAAAACACCATAAGATGATGACAAGGGAACGTCACCATCTAAAAATGAATAATTGACAATTGGAAACGAAAAATTATCTCTTATATCTTAAATTTTGGTCTTAAGCTACCCGTTAATGATATAGATATCAAGATTCAGGAAAGGACAGTGTTCATTGTTAGTATTAGCTTTGTTAGTTCAACAGGATAAATCTCTTTAGTGTACATACTGAAATCATCATTATTGAGAGCCAATATATCATCCAAATATCTAAAAGTATTATTAAATTTTTGTATCAGATGTTGTTTCGATGGGTTTTTGCTGAATTAAGTCATAAATTGCAACTCATAACAAACAGGTCCGCAATAAGTTGTGCACAGTTAGTCCCGATTGGAATTCCGATAGCTTGACGATATACGGAATCTCCAAAGCGAACAAAAATGTTATCTATTAAAAATTCAAGTGCAGTTATAATATCAAAGCACGTCCAATTGACATAGTTCTTTTGTTTATTGTTACTAAAAAATGACCTAAAAGAGTTTGAACATATATATTCGCATTCTGACCTTTTAACTGCCCATTTAATTAGGTGTGTGAATTTTTTCTTAATAAGAATATGAGGCAAAGTTGTATATAGGGTAGAAAATTCAAAATTTTGAACACATTCAAAATCACCAATATAAGAATGAAATTTATCAAGTATTTGACACTCCAAAAGTAATTAATTCCTCTATTTTCAAAGGCCTTATTTGAACAATTTATTATCAGGTTTTTTTATTGTACCATGATTATACATGTTATAAGCTTATTTGAAAACCATTGTAATGCATAACATCTACTATTCAGGGCAAGCTTAGAGATTCAATAAAGGTATAAATATATCAAAGTGTCAAACATTCCTTTAATTATGTTGTTTAAAGAACTTACCCAATTATAGTTTGATCAAATGTGTTGGTGCTTAACAAAGTAGGCCAAACAAACATGTAGCAATCAACAATGTTAGGTGAGGTTTGAATAAAAACACGTCATTTCTTCTTAATATTTTGGTCAAATCAACGGCAACAAAAATCTCTAACACAGTAAATAAATGTGTAACCCACGTATGTTTAGCCAATCATTAAATTTCTGTTAATTTTTGTATTGTTTTAAACTTTCGGCCTTTGTATTGATTAGGTATTTAAACAATGACATTATTATAGACTTTCTATTGATATGTTATTTGAAACTTTCATAATTTTGTAAACAATGAAGTACTCACAAACCATGACATGTATGTTTAGATTTTTTATTTCTTTATGATTAAATGTTTCGTCTTACGGTTTTATATATTTGTCATTGTAAAACAATGATTGTAGCGGATTTATTTTAAAAAATTAACTTAATGCGTATTTTTTCTTTATTTAATAAGACGTGTTTGAGTTGGATAATTTTAATGCGTTTGCAGATTAACTGTTATATTTGCAAGATGTTTATTTCGGATGTGAATTAGTTATCAATATTCATTAAGGAATTCTACATATTTCTCTTTTGACAAAACACAAAAAGGCACAAATCAGAAATTTTTAATTCGTGTTTCTTGGGTTTTTTTATGGAATGGTTTTAATTATATCATAAGTAGACTTTATATAACGCGAAGATATTCTTATGTCATAGGTTACTGTGTTTTATTATTTAAAATAAAATGAGAATAGAAACGTGGAATTTGTCAAAGAGACAAAAATTCTACCAACGTAAAGAAAAGTCCTTGGCCACCAACGGTTCTTCAACACAGCGAGACGAAGTGTAATACGTATCTTAATATACAAGTGGTACATTAACATTAAAATTATACTTGACAAATTTTAAGAGAGGTTTTAATTTCCCTGAATGAATGTGCACTCCAGTGTCACTTTAAATAACAATAATTAGTTATCAAAGGTACCAGGCTTATAATTTTATACACCAAACGCGAGTTCCGTCTTCATAAGACTCATCAGTGACGCTCAGATCAAAAACGTTAGAAAGCCAAACAAGTATAAAGTTGAAGAGCATTGAGGACCTAAAACTTCAAAAAAATTGTGCCAAATACATCTAAGGTAATCTATGCCTGGGATTAGAAAATCCTTAGTATTTCGAATAATTCATACTTTTGGAAACAGTAAATTTATAAAAATGACCATATAATTGATATTTATGTCAACACCGAAGTGCTGACTACTGGGATGGTGATACCCTCGGGGACGACACGTCCATCAGCAGTGGCATCGACCCAGTGGTGTGAACAGTTATCAAAGGTATCAGGCGTATAATTTGATACGCCAGACGCGCGTTTCGTCTACATAAGACCCATCAGTGACGCTCAGATCAGAAAAGTTAGAAAGCCAAACAAGTATAAAATTGAAGAGCATTGAGGACCCAATAAAATATTCTTTGTCAAACGTTACCAGTATCCGAGCAGAAAGTTGGTAAAGTGCAGCAGAATTCGTGCTGACAATGATATGTATTCTATTAGATCAATACCTCTCATGGTAGACTGCTAGTTTCTAAGAATATCATCAGTATAGTAGGCAATACCACAGAACCATCATGAAAATACGAATATCTTTGCCGTTATCAATGATTGAAAATCGTTTCGAATTAAGGAATGTTTAAAATTCATGCATATTTTTGAATCCATGTCCGGGTGTAACCTTTATTTTTTTTATTTTTATCAGTCACCAACGTTGAAATAAGGTGTTTTATCTTCAATAAGTTGGCCTCATGCAGAACTGAATAGATATTTTTGTCAAAACACGCATCTGTTTTATTTATAAATATAATTTCAATATAATTATGATTTCTTATATATAAGAATTGAAACAGATAAATCAGTACAATTTATTCGGCTTCTAGGAATTTTCAAGAACTTTTTTTTCCAAAATGAGTGAGACGAATATTGATTAAATCGGACATAACTCTTGAACGAGTATGGTGCGTTTCAATTTAAGTATCTGAAAAGTATTTATAGCAAGACAACATGATAAAATAAAATAAAAACAGTTGCTACGAAAAAAGAAAAAATCTGATTTATGACAATACCATAATAGACAACCAATAATGCAGCAACCAACGTCAACCACTAAAATACATTAACCTGACATTAATATTTGACAGACAAATAAATAATATGGCGCGTTAATTCTGTTAGTGATATCCATTGGATTCAGACTACTGAAAGGTAGTTCAACGCCAACAACAAGTATTAATAATCACTTTTGCAACACATAAAGTATCAAAAATCAAGACACGTATAACGGAATTAATGTTAATACGTCTTAAACGGTCGGAGAAAACAAAATGACCTTGAAGTTTACTACAAAAATCAAAATTCTCAAAGATAGTTGATTTGGTATAGAAAAGTGTCATAAGTTTTTTGATTGAAAAAAAATACTATAGAATCCTTTAGGTGGGTGGAAAGTAAAGGGATCTTATTTTTTGTTTCGAAAAACATAATGACACTTGTAAAAGATAGTTAAAAAAAAAAGGGTATTCAAAACATGAGTCTCATTCAAGGATTAAACAATATACATGTAGCACTAATCAAGTAACGACAAGTCTTGCTGCTTTACACACGGACATGTACGTCATGCCTGTGAAAAAATTGCTTCTAATTAATTTTGGATAGTGTAGCATTAGATTTAAACCCCCATCACGACCGATTTTACAGGGTTGTCTGCGAGTTTTAGTTTAAGGGGACACATAACGAGGTGTATATAACTTATTTCTCAGAAGCAGCCTAAACCAACGAAAGGCGGTGTATTATTCTAGCATGATTATCAACGAAGAATATTTTTTTATTTATTTATCAGTTTTTATTCCTCCTGTCATAGATGCATCATTGTTGTATAAATGGATTTATTTAAAATTAAGACAATATAGATGATAATATTATTTCACTGCTGTTAACTTTTTTTTTACGACAATCGTACAGAATATACGAATATCAAGAACGCTCCATATATAACATACTTATCAGAAACTGTCTTCCTCCATTATTTTCATTTCGCAAAAGCCGCCTACGAAAATTCTATTTTTTCATAAGTGACACCATAGCATCCTATTTAAACATCAGATTTAATATCTTTGTCCAACTGAGGTATAAAATGATTTTTTTGATATTTCTACTTCGGTAAGGTAACGACCGCTGTAGCTGTATTACCACTCGATTCACACAAAAGAATAATCATTGTCCATTCAATCGCTGTACACATATAGTTTATGATCGCATGCATTATAATGGACAATACTTGTATGTAACTAATGGTGCATGTGGTCCAAATGTAATGTTTTGTAGCTTAGCAAATCGCAATTTTCTATCGACTTTTTGTCCATAATTTTGATGACTAGTTGCCGCAAAGATAGCACGAGTTGGTTATTTGACTTACAATTTGTTCCTCAGGAAAAGATTTAATGTTACCGTGTCTTTCTTATTTTCGTCAGTTTTCAGCCACTTATTTCATCTGAATACACGTCTATTCTCAAATTAGGTCACATTCTAGATTTTCCATGTGTTAAAAAAACAGCGTTTTTCAATTTCGCAAAGAATTTGAAGTTTCCATGCCGATTGATTTATTCAAATCAAACAAAGTTTGAGTTAAATGTTTAATCTTAAATAAACAATCAGTCATTAATGCAGATCTCGTTTTATCTTTGAACACAAGTTCAGCCGAAAAAACTTTTGGCAGACTTTATAATAACTAGAAACAAACATTACAGAGTTTAAAGCTTCGTGATGGATGCAGTGGTTACTCTTGGCATTTTTTGTTAATGCATTATTGTATGTTATTTGCTTATTTAATTCGGAAACGTGAATCATCGTAGTCGTAGCAACATTACAGTAGGTGCAATACTTTATTGGGGCTGTAGTATTTCTTTCTAAATAGCACAATATCATTTGAATATTGCCGGTTGAACATTATTCATGTTATTGTTGATATTGTATCAAGATGGCACGATTTTTCTTCCAATACTGCTACTTTTCCAACCAGGGATCGACGTGGAAACTCATAGCACAACATTAGGTACCTCTTAAAGGGGCACTAGCTGTCAAATTCATGTTCACCGCTTTGACTCAAATTCTTATATTTGATTTATAACCATGTAAAACATTTATCCAAATTATAAAAAGTTTAAAATAAACAATTTACAGAGCATGGACTCCATAATATGTAGCTTCGCTTCGTGTGTATTTTAGTCTTGACGTCATCTAATTAACTATCGATTTGACCTCCGAAGACCTTCGATGGCCATACAAGCGATATAAACTTTAATATAGATATAAAAAGAAAATTATCTCGTGCAATTGGATTTTTCTAGGTCTGTTAAATTTCATATTATAAAAATATATATTAATTAACGTTTTTACCTGTATAATAATGATTTTTTGTGGAGCGAATCATTCAATCAAATGATTTACCTCTGTCTCACTTTCAATGTTGACATTCTTTTCCTTTAAACATGTTAAATAACCGAACACGCACAATTCATGCGTTATCCATCTCTAGCTAAGGGGTTAAATTGAAGTTCACATGAATACGGATCCAATGAGGTCGAATTATTCACTTGCAAGTGAATAATTCATCATCAATGTTTCTTAGCTTAATTTGACAAAATTGAACCATACTGGCTGCTAAAAGCAAATAATTATTTTACTATTTCACTTTCATTAATGACTGAACAAAAAAATCATACTTTAGATTTTTTATACTTCTCGTAGCTAGTGCCCCTTTCAGGAGTACTCCATTTGTAGTGTGATGGTCATTTATACAGTGATAGTTTTGAAAGTAATCTCATGTTCTGTTAAATGTCAATACACTTTAGCTGCTAAGAAATATAATAGTAGGAGGAATGATAATTTTGGATAGGATATATTTTTCAGCAAAGTATGTTCTATTTTTCGCGCTGTATTTTGTATTCAAAATATAAACTAATATTTTTGGGATCTCATCATAGTTTGGTTGAGAAGTACAGAATATATGTGTTACAAATGACCAGTTTTATTTGTTCGCGAAATCACGAATACGACTTACAACCAAATGTGACTTATGACCGCATTTGTACTTGTCAAAAGCTTCACGGCGGATGCAACCAAACAAAGTGTACATAAACTGCTTAGTATTCCAATAAACAATGAAGTACTCACAAACCATGACATGTATGTTTAGATTTTTTATTTCTTTATGATTAAATGTTTCGTCTTACGGTTTTATATATTTGTCATTGTAAAACAATGATTGTAGCGGATTTATTTTAAAAAATTAACTTAATGCGTATTTTTTCTTTATTTAATAAGACGTGTTTGAGTTGGATAATTTTAATGCGTTTGCAGATTAACTGTTATATTTGCAAGATGTTTATTTCGGATGTGAATTAGTTATCAATATTCATTAAGGAATTCTACATATTTCTCTTTTGACAAAACACAAAAAGGCACAAATCAGAAATTTTTAATTCGTGTTTCTTGGGTTTTTTTATGGAATGGTTTTAATTATATCATAAGTAGACTTTATATAACGCGAAGATATTCTTATGTCATAGGTTACTGTGTTTTATTATTTAAAATAAAATGAGAATAGAAACGTGGAATTTGTCAAAGAGACAAAAATTCTACCAACGTAAAGAAAAGTCCTTGGCCACCAACGGTTCTTCAACACAGCGAGACGAAGTGTAATACGTATCTTAATATACAAGTGGTACATTAACATTAAAATTATACTTGACAAATTTTAAGAGAGGTTTTAATTTCCCTGAATGAATGTGCACTCCAGTGTCACTTTAAATAACAATAATTAGTTATCAAAGGTACCAGGCTTATAATTTTATACACCAAACGCGAGTTCCGTCTTCATAAGACTCATCAGTGACGCTCAGATCAAAAACGTTAGAAAGCCAAACAAGTATAAAGTTGAAGAGCATTGAGGACCTAAAACTTCAAAAAAATTGTGCCAAATACATCTAAGGTAATCTATGCCTGGGATTAGAAAATCCTTAGTATTTCGAATAATTCATACTTTTGGAAACAGTAAATTTATAAAAATGACCATATAATTGATATTTATGTTAACACCGAAGTGCTGACTACTGGGATGGTGATACCCTCGGGGACGACACGTCCATCAGCAGTGGCATCGACCCAGTGGTGTGAACAGTTATCAAAGGTATCAGGCGTATAATTTGATACGCCAGACGCGCGTTTCGTCTACATAAGACCCATCAGTGACGCTCAGATCAGAAAAGTTAGAAAGCCAAACAAGTATAAAATTGAAGAGCATTGAGGACCCAATAAAATATTCTTTGTCAAACGTTACCAGTATCCGAGCAGAAAGTTGGTAAAGTGCAGCAGAATTCGTGCTGACAATGATATGTATTCTATTAGATCAATACCTCTCATGGTAGACTGCTAGTTTCTAAGAATATCATCAGTATAGTAGGCAATACCACAGAACCATCATGAAAATACGAATATCTTTGCCGTTATCAATGATTGAAAATCGTTTCGAATTAAGGAATGTTTAAAATTCATGCATATTTTTGAATCCATGTCCGGGTGTAACCTTTATTTTTTTTATTTTTATCAGTCACCAACGTTGAAATAAGGTGTTTTATCTTCAATAAGTTGGCCTCATGCAGAACTGAATAGATATTTTTGTCAAAACACGCATCTGTTTTATTTATAAATATAATTTCAATATAATTATGATTTCTTATATATAAGAATTGAAACAGATAAATCAGTACAATTTATTCGGCTTCTAGGAATTTTCAAGAACTTTTTTTTCCAAAATGAGTGAGACGAATATTGATTAAATCGGACATAACTCTTGAACGAGTATGGTGCGTTTCAATTTAAGTATCTGAAAAGTATTTATAGCAAGACAACATGATAAAATAAAATAAAAACAGTTGCTACGAAAAAAGAAAAAATCTGATTTATGACAATACCATAATAGACAACCAATAATGCAGCAACCAACGTCAACCACTAAAATACATTAACCTGACATTAATATTTGACAGACAAATAAATAATATGGCGCGTTAATTCTGTTAGTGATATCCATTGGATTCAGACTACTGAAAGGTAGTTCAACGCCAACAACAAGTATTAATAATCACTTTTGCAACACATAAAGTATCAAAAATCAAGACACGTATAACGGAATTAATGTTAATACGTCTTAAACGGTCGGAGAAAACAAAATGACCTTGAAGTTTACTACAAAAATCAAAATTCTCAAAGATAGTTGATTTGGTATAGAAAAGTGTCATAAGTTTTTTGATTGAAAAAAAATACTATAGAATCCTTTAGGTGGGTGGAAAGTAAAGGGATCTTATTTTTTGTTTCGAAAAACATAATGACACTTGTAAAAGATAGTTAAAAAAAAAAGGGTATTCAAAACATGAGTCTCATTCAAGGATTAAACAATATACATGTAGCACTAATCAAGTAACGACAAGTCTTGCTGCTTTACACACGGACATGTACGTCATGCCTGTGAAAAAATTGCTTCTAATTAATTTTGGATAGTGTAGCATTAGATTTAAACCCCCATCACGACCGATTTTACAGGGTTGTCTGCGAGTTTTAGTTTAAGGGGACACATAACGAGGTGTATATAACTTATTTCTCAGAAGCAGCCTAAACCAACGAAAGGCGGTGTATTATTCTAGCATGATTATCAACGAAGAATATTTTTTTATTTATTTATCAGTTTTTATTCCTCCTGTCATAGATGCATCATTGTTGTATAAATGGATTTATTTAAAATTAAGACAATATAGATGATAATATTATTTCACTGCTGTTAACTTTTTTTTTACGACAATCGTACAGAATATACGAATATCAAGAACGCTCCATATATAACATACTTATCAGAAACTGTCTTCCTCCATTATTTTCATTTCGCAAAAGCCGCCTACGAAAATTCTATTTTTTTCATAAGTGACACCATAGCATCCTATTTAAACATCAGATTTAATATCTTTGTCCAACTGAGGTATAAAATGATTTTTTTGATATTTCTACTTCGGTAAGGTAACGACCGCTGTAGCTGTATTACCACTCGATTCACACAAAAGAATAATCATTGTCCATTCAATCGCTGTACACATATAGTTTATGATCGCATGCATTATAATGGACAATACTTGTATGTAACTAATGGTGCATGTGGTCCAAATGTAATGTTTTGTAGCTTAGCAAATCGCAATTTTCTATCGACTTTTTGTCCATAATTTTGATGACTAGTTGCCGCAAAGATAGCACGAGTTGGTTATTTGACTTACAATTTGTTCCTCAGGAAAAGATTTAATGTTACCGTGTCTTTCTTATTTTCGTCAGTTTTCAGCCACTTATTTCATCTGAATACACGTCTATTCTCAAATTAGGTCACATTCTAGATTTTCCATGTGTTCTGTTAAAAAAACAGCGTTTTTCAATTTCGCAAAGAATTTGAAGTTTCCATGCCGATTGATTTATTCAAATCAAACAAAGTTTGAGTTAAATGTTTAATCTTAAATAAACAATCAGTCATTAATGCAGATCTCGTTTTATCTTTGAACACAAGTTCAGCCGAAAAAACTTTTGGCAGACTTTATAATAACTAGAAACAAACATTACAGAGTTTAAAGCTTCGTGATGGATGCAGTGGTTACTCTTGGCATTTTTTGTTAATGCATTATTGTATGTTATTTGCTTATTTAATTCGGAAACGTGAATCATCGTAGTCGTAGCAACATTACAGTAGGTGCAATACTTTATTGGGGCTGTAGTATTTCTTTCTAAATAGCACAATATCATTTGAATATTGCCGGTTGAACATTATTCATGTTATTGTTGATATTGTATCAAGATGGCACGATTTTTCTTCCAATACTGCTACTTTTCCAACCAGGGATCGACGTGGAAACTCATAGCACAACATTAGGTACCTCTTAAAGGGGCACTAGCTGTCAAATTCATGTTCACCGCTTTGACTCAAATTCTTATATTTGATTTATAACCATGTAAAACATTTATCCAAATTATAAAAAGTTTAAAATAAACAATTTACAGAGCATGGACTCCATAATATGTAGCTTCGCTTCGTGTGTATTTTAGTCTTGACGTCATCTAATTAACTATCGATTTGACCTCCGAAGACCTTCGATGGCCATACAAGCGATATAAACTTTAATATAGATATAAAAAGAAAATTATCTCGTGCAATTGGATTTTTCTAGGTCTGTTAAATTTCATATTATAAAAATATATATTAATTAACGTTTTTACCTGTATAATAATGATTTTTTGTGGAGCGAATCATTCAATCAAATGATTTACCTCTGTCTCACTTTCAATGTTGACATTCTTTTCCTTTAAACATGTTAAATAACCGAACACGCACAATTCATGCGTTATCCATCTCTAGCTAAGGGGTTAAATTGAAGTTCACATGAATACGGATCCAATGAGGTCGAATTATTCACTTGCAAGTGAATAATTCATCATCAATGTTTCTTAGCTTAATTTGACAAAATTGAACCATACTGGCTGCTAAAAGCAAATAATTATTTTACTATTTCACTTTCATTAATGACTGAACAAAAAAATCATACTTTAGATTTTTTATACTTCTCGTAGCTAGTGCCCCTTTCAGGAGTACTCCATTTGTAGTGTGATGGTCATTTATACAGTGATAGTTTTGAAAGTAATCTCATGTTCTGTTAAATGTCAATACACTTTAGCTGCTAAGAAATATAATAGTAGGAGGAATGATAATTTTGGATAGGATATATTTTTCAGCAAAGTATGTTCTATTTTTCGCGCTGTATTTTGTATTCAAAATATAAACTAATATTTTTGGGATCTCATCATAGTTTGGTTGAGAAGTACAGAATATATGTGTTACAAATGACCAGTTTTATTTGTTCGCGAAATCACGAATACGACTTACAACCAAATGTGACTTATGACCGCATTTGTACTTGTCAAAAGCTTCACGGCGGATGCAACCAAACAAAGTGTACATAAACTGCTTAGTATTCCAATAAACCTGAGTCCATCTCTAACTCGTCTTTTGTTTTGTTTTAAAAGGTTTCGGATTTTTATATGTAGTTGTATACGGATTTTGATTTGTAAACAGATATTTATGATTTTTTCTCTTCTTGATACGAACAATGGAACAATTCGGCTACAGTTTAAATGAGGGCGATACAAACAGTACTGACTTTAAAAGATGTATTTCAGTCTCAAGGAAATGGCACGGATTATACTCATTTGCATGGTATGCATGAAGCGAGCACAACTTAGCACAATGCTTTCCATATGAGATCAATTGATTGGCTAGAGCAAAGAAAAGATATCAATGTGTTACAATGTACGCATATTTTTAAAAGCAGAAAGAAAACAGCACAAGTTAAATATGTCAGTATCATCACAAGCACTATTTAGGTTGCATTTCTGTAAATATCGACAATGCAATTTCCCATAGGAACTCCTTTTACGGCTAAAACTGTATCACTTTTACTTTGAAGTTTTGAAGAAAAAAAAATATATCCTAGAATGGAAAGTTCATATGCACTACTACTTTATAAAGGTCAAAATATAGGGCTGTGCGGCATATTTTAAACGTTTATATGCCCCAAACTTCTAAGAGTTTAAACTTACACTAAAATTCAAAACTACCCCGACCTGAACAGATTAAAATTTGACCGCTATGCATAAATATATTTACTGGTAACATTTTCAAGTTATGTCTCTACGAGATGAAACATAGAGAACATATCTGGGAACCAGTACGTAAACAAAATTAATTAACTCTGAATATTATATATCTTCCCAATAGAGGCGTGGTTTGTAAAACAGCTGTATTTACAAAGTGTAACCTTTATAATCATTATAAAAGAGGGACGAAAGATACCAGAGGGACAGTCAAACTCATAGATCGAAAACAAACTGACAACGCCATGGCCAAAAATAAAAAGACAAACAGACAAATAATAGTACAGATGACACAACATAGAAAACTAAAGACTAAGCAACACGAACCCCACCAATAATTTGGGGTGATCTCAGGTGTTCCGGAAGGGTAGGCAGATCCTGCTCCACATGTGGCACTATAATGTGCACATGCCTAAAAATCATGAAATAGTAGAAAACAAACCTGAAATGGATTCGATTTCATTTCTTGCTTTTGTTTTTGAATTAGAAATAGTACATCGACTGCTTCATGAGCATAGCTTTATCCCATGAAACAGTTATATAATTTTATTAATAGTTACATTTTGTTAAGCGGTGATATCTAATCTAAATTAAAATCAGTGCAAAAATGCTCAGTACAAGGAAATTTCGACTCAGGACTAACGACAATTTCTGTCCATTTATCGATTCTTAAACGACAATGTAGTCAAACCAGAGCAGAAAAGAGACGGAAGATACCAGGGGAGAGGGGTCATTAAAAACGTAAGTAGAACAGTATTACATTGAGAGAATCACCAAAATAACACAGCATTGTCTGATCAGTATAATTAACATGTCATATTATATAATCAAAATAATACTTGTAAACGGGGAAAAGTGTTTCTCAAATATAATGATTTATCTGCTATTTCTAGCATTCAATTTAAAAAAAGTAAGATCAAACCAAACTTCATACAGAAGGACAATATATAATTATGAATTAAAATGAAATTCTGACAAAACTATCTGGTTTAAAATGATAGGGTTTTAAAGGTACCTGTTCAAGTAAAGTTACACAAATATGAACAAGTCCTAAGTCAGGAATCTGATGTACAGTAGTTGTCGTCTGTTTATGTAGTTCATACGTGTTTCTCGTTTCTCGTTTTTATATAGATTAGACCGTTGGTTTTCCCGTTTGAATGGTTTTACACTAGTAATTTTTGGGGCCCTTTATAGCTTGCTGTTCGGTGTGAGCCAATGCTCCGTGTTGAAGGCCGTACCTTGACCTATAATGGTTTACTTTTATAAATTGTTACTTGGATGGAGAGTTGTCTCATTGGCACTCATACCACATCTTCCTATATCTATAAGACATCTTTAAACAGTCAGGAGCAATCAACCATTATTTACCCTTAACATTCATATTCCCTCTTCTACAAGCAGCCATCAGAGGTGTCATTCTCATACTATCAACCAGGTTAAGCTCACTTCCTTTGTCTAAAAGTAACTTTACTATCTTCTCATTTCCTCTACTACAAGCAGCTGGCAGAGGTGTCTGTTTTATACAATCCACCAGGTTAACCTCACTTCCTTTGTCTATAAGTAACTGTACTATCTTCTCATTTCCCCCACTACAAGCAGTTGTCAGAGGTGTCATTCTCCCACCATCAACCTGGTTAACCTTACTTCCTCTGTCTAAAAGTAACAGTTTATTTTATCATCTTCCCATTTCCTCTACTACAAGCAGCTATCAAAGGTGTCTGTTTTATAAGATCCACCAGGTTAATCACATCCTAACTTAATAAGTAACTTTACTATCTTCATATTCCCTCTTCTACAAGCAGCCATCAGAGGTGTCTATTTCATACCATCAACTTGATTTACTTCACTTCCTTTGTCTAAAAGTAACTTAACTATCTTCTCATTTTCTCTGTCACAAAGAAATTGTCAGAGGTGTCCCTCCGTAAGCACCTGCCTTGTTAAGATCACTTCCTTTGTCTAGAAGTAACTGTACCATCTTTTCATTTCCTCTGTGACCAAAACATGGAAATAGTGTTCCCTCTCCACTTTGTCCACTACAAGCAGTCGTAAAAGGTGTATGTTTCATACCATTCACCAGGTTAACATTACATCCTCTGTCTATCCTTTCCGCTACTACAAGCAGCTGTCATAGATGTCTGTTTCATACCATCAACCTGGTTAACATCACTTCCTTTGTCTATAAGTAGCTTTACTATATTTTCATTTCCTCTACTACAAACAGTCGTCAGAGGTGTTAGTCCTATATTACCAGTCTGATTAACATCACTTCTTTGTCCGTAAGTAACTGTACTATCATCTCATTTTCTCCACTACAAGCAGTTGTCAGAGGTGTCTGTTTCAAATCATCCACCAGGTTAACATCACTTCCCTTGTCTATAAGTAACTGTACTATCTTCTCATTTCCTCCACTACAAGCAGTTGTCAGAGGTGCGAGCCTAAACCCATCAAACTGGTTAACATCACTTCCTTTGTCAATAAGTATCTGTACTATCTCCTCATGTCCTCCACTACAAGCACCAATAAGAGGTGTCTGTTTCATACCATCAACCTGGTTAACATCACCTCCTTTGTCTATAAGTAACTGTACTATCTTCTCATTTCCTCCACTACACGCAGTTGTCAGAGGTGTGAGCCTAAACCCATCAAACTGCTTAACATCACTTCCTTTGTCAAAAAGTAACTGTACTATCTCCTCATGTCCTTCATTACTCGCAGCTGTCAGAGGTGTCTACTCCATAAAATCAACTTGGTTAACATCACTTCCTTTGTCTATAAGTAAATGTTCTTGTTCTTTTCAAAACACAATCTCGCCATTCTGCGTATCTAAACTTTGTAAAGTTTTAATTTTGCTTATTTTCAAATAACTCTCAATTGTTTATACTATTTATTTTGTTTCTGAACTTTAACCATTTAAAATTTCTACTTGTAAATGAAAATTTTTATTAGTTACAAAATTACGGTTTAAACAGATTGTGTCGTATCATACTATAAAATAATTTAATTTTGGATGTAACGCGTCTTCCGATTGGCTGACGTTGTTTTGTTTATCAGCTCATAGATATAATTTTGTAATGTGACCTTGACATCATCAACGTTTTTTTCATGATTTACTCCGATTTAAAATGGAATTAAGAATTATATTTTATAAGAAATGACTGTAATATTTTTTCTGTCTATTCGAAATAACATAAAAAATGTGGTGCACACTTTAAAATAACCCGCTACGCGGGTTATTCAGTGTGCAGCACATTTTTTATGTTATTTTTTCATAGACAGAAAGAATATTACAGTCATTCCTAAAATGTATCATACAGGCACTGCTGTGGTGCATGTAAAATTGCAATTCGCAGTGAAAACCGTCTTTATGTGTCCATCAATAGATAGAAAATCAGAAACAAGAGTCTGAATAACACCCTACAAATTAAAAAAAAAGTTGTGAAACCGAAAATATCCTATGCTTTCATTTCATTGCAGTTTCCAGTTCTAGTTGATTATAAGTCCAAAGAGTATTTCCACCTAATATGCATTGCTTCGGTATTGGTTCGATCAGAATAATTTTTTTTTTCGTGCGTCATACACATTTTCTGTCTAAAGAAGCCTCATCAGTTAAATTTCATGACGGTTGGGAACTCTTCTTAGGAATGAGTTTAATATAGTGACATGCATGCATATTTTTTCTATTTAATGGACAATTTTAATCAAATTAAAGAAGTGCTGTCAAAAACAATTTGGTAGAACAAGAAGAATACATTTTAGTGATATATTTTTCAAGTCCCGTTTTTCCTAAAAAATAGTCGTCTCCTTTCAAATCGTTTTCAGATCGTTCAATACATTTGAAAGTTGTTAGAATTTAATATATCAAAGTTCTGTTAGTCTCAGGGGAGAGATAAGTTTATTGGTAATTTATTAACTGGAAATGTATAGCTGATTCAGAAGAATATTACTTATTTTTATGTACATGTAGTTATTAAAGTAAATGTAGGCAAATGTTCATTAATACTCTTTAAAATGCATTATGCATTTGCCACATAGTTACGTTAATAAAATTAAGTTGTATTGTTTCCTCGTATTCTATCGAACAACTTATATCTTTAATCTTATATAGTTATATTACTTACCGAATAGTGTAAAATGAATTTCCTCTTCAGCCAACAACCTCTTTAAGGAAAAAATATAATATCTGTTTCTATATATCTCTTATTCCCACAATCAACGAGATTATTCTAGAGGGCTAAGAGCCCATGTCGCTCACCTATGTATATGTACATTATCAAAAATGGCTAATCTCCAACATTACTGACTAGAAGATATTTCATGACTACCATTTGTTCATCATGTATTGCTGTAAAATTTGTTTGTTTTCAGTTTCTCGCTATTTTTCATAGTTTTTATGCAAAAATAGATAAAAGTCATCATTCAAGGGTAATAACTCCTAAACTGAGTCCCCTGAAACTTCGTCGATCTTGTCCTACTAATCATTTATGCTGTTAACAGAGTTTTTTAAATCTATATTTTTGGTCTAGGATATAAATATTGGTAAAAATTATCATTTTCGGACAATAATTTCTATAAAGAGTCAACTACGATTTTGTCCATATTTGAAAAAATTTGTATATTTTGTTCTGCTGATCTTATTTGCAATTTTACAGTTGCTCTTAGTCTTTAATAATGTTTTAAATATAACAAGCCAAAACGCATAAAATTATATAAATTGTTATTTAGAGGCTATAACTCCTATAATAACATTAACGGTACCAAGGAGTATAAGGAGTCCACCAAGGATTTTGGATATTTAAATTATTTTCAGATCTTATCTTGGGGATCATTTTGCCATTTAAAGATTCGATCAATCTATTGTAGTTTTACAAATTATATGCAAAACTACAAGAAATTGTTAAAAATCACCATTTAAGGGCAGTAACTACTATAGGTAGAGTGACATATATGATTTAAATAGGTCTATCTCAACATTTTATACATTCAAGCACCAGTCAGATTTTCTATCACTCTATGGTGGTTTTCAAGATAAAGACAAAACTTTCTCAATGCAGTATGATAAACCATACCAACCATTTTGGTTAAAAAAGGGATCATCGGACACTTTTTTTTCAAGCCAGATCCCTAAGGATGATTATGGCCACCTTAAGTTCCAATTGACTCTGCAATTTCAGAAGAGATGATTTATGTAAATGTTAACACGACGGACGATGGACGCCAAGTGATGATAAAATCTTACTTGGCCCTTTGGGTTAGTTGAGAAAATACATACATGTAGTATATCAGTTACCTCCGAGTTTGTCATGTGTGAAAGCCAGAAACTGTCATTACTGTATGAACACATTTGAACTGGATTAACAAAGTATTCTGTAAAAATACTGCTGTATATATTTCAGATGTCGTTTTAATTAGTTTGGAATTACATTTATAGAGCATTTGAGCTCTCTTTCTTATCTTCCTTACATGTGACAGTTGTGTAAACTCACAGCATAAGAGCAAACAAAAAATAAGTTGGTAATGACTAGACTCATAAGATCGACACGAACTACAGAAAACAGCAAACAGCAAACATGATAACAAAAGACACAGAGTAGCGATCTAACTAAAGAGTACTCGCAGTTTCTGAAATAAATGATGTTGTCGAACATCGAATGGATTTAATATTAGGACGTAGTAGACATGCAGAGAAATTAATGGCTTTGTGTATTGCCAAAATATAATACATAATATCGACAGAATTCAATTTATTTGGAATATGTTGGAATGAGTAAAATTTCCGTAATATAATTTGAAACACTTTATTTATTTAATATCATTATTAGCAAAGATATCACCAAGGTCATGGTTAGCGTTATCCCATTTATCCATTAAAGGGAATGAAGACGGATCTTAACTGAGTTTGACCAAAAACTTTGATTCGTAACAGTACAGGAACAAGTGTGATATTAAAGGCAACAATTTGAATCCATAGGAATATCTACAACTTATGGATAAATTGTATAACCGAAATGTACATATATGATGTCAAGGTGAAGATAAATTAGATTTTATTAACTTTATATGTTTTAAAACAATATGAAATTACAAGTTATTTGGGAATCTTGTTTAAGTCACAGAAAGATAGGTAGTAGAAATTAAAGACTGTTTGACGGTGTTTTTGTGTATTTAAGGTAGCCAATAGTATGGACATTAAGATGTCCAGAAAAGCCCTTATCAGAGTTGTGGTTGCGATATTATTGTTAATTATTATACCTCAGTATGTTTTTCTATATAAAAAAGAATGAAATATTTGTGCTATTATATTCCACAGACTTTTTGTCAGTCAATAGTTTCAAAGACTATTACCCCGGTCAATAGTTTTATCAACATATTTCCCGGATTTTTCATATTAACTTTTCATTGGACAACAATGACGTCATAGCCTATTTTGCTTGGATTTGTGCGCTTGACAACGTTAAACTCTGAAATATCGTAAACGGTATGATCTGTATGTGTCTGTCGTCGTAATTTCAAATTTAGATATTACTTACCAGAAGTAATTAAAAAAGAAAAAGACATATTTTAAGAACTAAAAGATAACAAATTTATGGTATCGGTATGTCGTCGTCTTCATAATCAGGGATTGCTTTGGTGTATGGTAAAATATCTTATCTAGTGTTTATTATATGCACGTGAGTTTTTACACAAGGATTCCTGGTCTTGATTACAGTAATCAAAATATTGACAAATACCACACGGGCAAATAACAAAAACCTGATAGTTAATCTTGTACATGTCTATATGACTATTTGGTGTTTTTCCAAGTGGTGTAAACATGTAGTATTTTTTAGAAAGTTGTTTTGTTTTTAATAGCAAGTTTGTTGTCCCTTGGATACCAACTATTGCTCGAGGCGAAGCCGAGTGCAATAGTAAGTATCAAAGCGACAACAAACTTGCTATTACCCTAATAACAAGTCAATAAGTGTTTTATTATACCGAACAAAACAACTTTCTAAAAAATACTACATGTTTACACCACTTATTAAAACTTATTACACCAGGGTTTTCAATATCACAAACTAGTCAAAACATTTACTAAATTTTTCATCGGTACAAGGACATATTTCATAAATTTAAAATCAACATGCAGACATCTTATACGTTCAAGTATTTCACAACCAATCTTTTATGGTGATATTATTTACAAAGCACAAAAATGTCGGCATTCACCTCAAAAGCTAACCAAACCTTTAAACAGACTTATTCGGAAGGGATATAGTTACGATACTGTTGTCAGTTCATTAAGGATTGCATATTTTGGTATTAATATTGACTCACTCATACGGTCTTTGCATCGGAAATAAACACATTTATTATAAAACCAGTTGTTGGCATGATACGGGTTATGTTCTTCTCATATAGTTTATGATGGTATGATACTAAACCCGTGACGGGAGGGATTGTACTTGATTTTCATATGATGACTTTTTCGGAAGGGATTTAGTTACGATACTGTTGTCAGGTCATAAAGGAATGCATATTTTGGTATTAATATTAATTCACTCATAGGGTCTTTGCATCGGAAATAAACACATTTATTCTAAAACCAGTTTTTGGCATGACACGGGTTATGCTCTCCTCATATATTTTATGATGGAATGATACTAA